ACCGGACCCAAAAAAAAAGTCCATGAGATGCATAAGTCTAATTAACCAGCAAAAAGCTGAAGCTATGGCTCAAGTGATAGAGCACAAGTCTTGAGGGAAAAACTAAGGCATGGCACCCAAGTAGTACCCTGAGTTCAAATTTCCATTCTCATTCTCCCTCCCTCTCTCTCTCTTTCTCTCTCTCTCTCTCTCTCTCTCCCTCTCTACACACACACACAATTTTTTATATGTTCCTATGTTTAAATCTGGATATCCAAATATAAGCAATTTCTGAAATATGTATGTTTCTTATATGCTAATTACAAGCTAAATAATGTTGGGCATGGAGATACACACCTGTCATCACAGCATGGAGGACTCTAAGACAGGAAGATCACAAGTTCAATGCCAACCTGGGCTATTACATAGCAATACTGTCTTTAAAATAAATAAATACACAAACTTAGAAATCACACAAATAAATAGACACAACAGAGAAGAAAAAATTGGGGGTTGGAGATTTAGCTCAAGTGGAAGAGCACTTGCCTGGCAAGTATAAGACCCTGAGTGTGGTCCATAGCTCTGGGGGAAAACAACAAAACAAAACAAAAACACTAAAAACTTGAATATCTAAGGATAAAAAGCTCAGCTGAGTCTGGCCTGATTGTACATGTGTCTAATAGTAGCACTTGGACACAGAGACAGGAAAAACACATGTAGCCTACATAGCCTACATAGATCTACATCTAGCCTAAATAGATCTCAACACTGATTTTTTTTTTTTGGCTGGTTCTGGGACTTGAACTCTGGGCCTGGGGGGCTGTCCCTCAGCTTTTCAGCTCAAGGCTAGCGCCTCTACCAGTTGAGCCATAGCACCACTTTCAAATTTTTCTGCTTATGTGGTACTGAGAAATCGAACCCAGGGCCTCATGCATACAAGGCAACACTCTACCACTGAGCCACCTTGCAGACCTCAACATTGATCTTAACTCAAAAAAAAAGAAAACTATATCTGAAATAAAAAATACATTGAATGAGATATAAACATCAGATTAGACACTGCAGAAGAAAAGTGTAAACTCAAACACAAAGCAAGAGCTACCACCCAAAATGAACCACAAAGGGAAAAAAAACCTACAAGAAACAAAACACTGAAGGAAAAGTTCAGGACCTAAATGTATATGTGATTACAATACAAGAAGGGCCATGAAACCAGAACAATATTTGAAGAATAGCTAAAATTTTTCCAAAACGCAATGATCCAAGAAGCTCAACAAACTCCAAGCCTAAGAAACATAAAGAAAACTCCACCAAGGTATATTTTAAAAAAGAAAACTTAGTATCACCTTTAGAGGAAAAAAAAAATAAGATCCATTATACAGAAAGTGGAACAGAGATAAAAATGACACCAAGTAGACCACAATACCTCCACATGTAATCCTAGCACTTTGGCAGGCAAAGATCAGAAAGATTATAGTTTAAGCTAGACTAGGCTAAAAGTTCGTAAAACCCCATCTCAACCAATTAAAAAAAAAAATCTGAACATGGTGACATGAGCCTGTCATCCCAGTTATGTAGAAAGCATAAACAGAAGAACTGTGGAGACTCTATTTAAAAAGTAATTAAAGCAAAATGGACTGAGGCATGCCTCAAGGGGCAGACTGCTTTGTTAGCAATGGCAAAATGCTAAAAGAAAAAGAAAAAAAAATCAGAGAAGACACCAGGAGGTGAATGACCTCCCTCCCATGTTTAAGGATCAGCAGAATTAATATAGTAAAAATGACCACACTGCCACAGGCAACCTACAAATTCAATGTAATACCCATCAAAATCTCAATGTCATTCTTGACCAATAAAGAAAACCATCAAAAAATTCATATGCAACCACAAAAGGCCCCAAATAGGCAAAGAAAATCTAGTTTTAAAAAAAAAGCAATTCTGAAAGTATTACAATTACATACTTAAAACTTTACCACAGAGCTATAACAAAAACAACTTGGTATTGGCACACCAATAGGCCTAAAGACCAGGAGACTAGACTAGAAGATCCAGAAATAAAATTCATTACTTACAGCTATCTGATATTTGCCAAGGAAGCCAAAACTTTACATTGGAATAAAGACAGCCTCCTCAACAAATGGTTTTGGGAAAACTGGACCCTTGTCTGGCACCTTGCACTAATATCAATTCAAAATGGATTAGCTGGGCACCAGTGGCCTGTAATCCTAGCTACTCAACAGGTTGAGATCTGAAGATCACAGTTCAAAGCCAATCTGGGCAGGAAACCCTGTGAAACTCTTATAGCCAATAAAATCACCAGAAAACAGGAACTGGTACTGTAGCTCAAGTGGTAGAGCACTAGCCTTGAGCTGAAGAGCTGAGGGAAAGAGCCCAGGCTTAAAGTTCAAGCCCTGTGACCAACATCCCCTCACCAAAAAAAAAAATAGATCAAAGACCAACATTAGACCTGAAACTTTGAATTTACTACAGGAAAGAGTAGGAGAAACATTAGAACTTAATGGTGTAAAGCAGGGACTTTCTGAGTCCCAGAGGTTCAGCAAATTGGAGAATCAACAAATGGGATTGCATCAAACTAAAAAGTTTCTGTACGGCAAAAGACACAGCTACTAAAGAAGTTACCAGAAGGCAATGTAAAGATTCCTCAAAAACACTAAACTTAGAACTGCTCTCTGAACCGGTGACAACACTCTTGTATATCTATCCAGGACATTACACAAGTCAGAATTCAGTAAAGACACTTGCACATCTTATATAAAATTCTGCACTAGTCACAACAGTCAATTTATGGAAACAGTCCAGGTGCCCTACAATGAATGAGTGGATCAGAAAAGTGATACATATATACAACAGAATTTTACTTGTTTGTCAGAAAGAGTATTATGTCATTTGCAAGGAAATGGATGGACCTAGAACAAATCCTGTTAAGTGAAGTTAGGCTCAGAGAGACAAACAGTGCATATTTTTTCTCACATGTAGAAATTAGATGTAAAATACAAATATACATAATAACATATACAGGCTCATATGTATAGACACACAAATTGATAAGGGATGGAATATGTAGGGGAAAAGTTAAACAGTGTAATTCCTCTGGATTAATAAACCATTTAACAAAACACATACCAGGAAGCTAAAATATATTCTTGGTTAGGGGGAGAAAAATGAGGGGGTACACACAAATGGAGAGACAAAGGCTGAGAAAATGTAACCTGAGAGTAGGATGGAAGGGTGAAAGATAAAAGGAGTAACATAGATCAAGATACATTGTACTAGTAACCTGACTTACGGAATTGAAACACTTTTGTACAACTACTCTACATAAGTCAAAAAACTAACTAAAAGAAAAAGAACAGACTTTTTGACAGAAAACTACAAAACAACATCTTTAGAAGACTGCTGAGAAAGGCCTACTGATATAAAAATATCTTTCAAAAATAAAGGTGTGCTGGGCACAGGTGGCTCATGCTTATAATGCTAGCTACTCAGGAGGATGACATCTGAGAATCACTGTTCAAAGCCAACCAGGCAGGAAAGTCTGCGAGACTCTTACCTCTAATTAACCACCCAAAAGCCAAAAAGTGGATCTGTGGCTCAAGTGGTGGAATGCTAACTTTGAGCAAAAAGGCTCAAGGACAGTACCCAGACCCTGAGTTAAAGCCTCAGAACCAGTATAAGAAATGCTAATAAAAGTTAAAGAAAAGCCTTCATCAGAACTGAGGTGTTGCTCAAGAGGAAGAGCATTTGCCTAGCAAGTGTGAGGTCCTGTTTTCAATTCTTATTACTACAAATAAGTAAGTAAATTAATAAATCCTTATTCTTCATGTAAAGGTTTGCTTGTCAGATACATCTGGGTTTAAATGTTGCTGACACCATTTCTTAATATAGAGTGACTGAGTTATTATTATTTTTAATGAATTGTTTACTATAAATTAAGTCATTTCTTATGTCAATGCTTTATGTCTATAGAACCTCATTTAATTCTCAACTCAAAGACACTTATTGATATTCCCATTTTATGAAAACACTAGAATGTTAAGCCTGCTCTAAACCTCTTTCACACAGAATACTGGGAGGACTACATGAAACAATGTACGTTTAGCACCTTATTCAGTGCCTCACACAGAGCAACCACTACACATTGGTACACAGGTCAGTACACAGGTACTGACTCTTGTAGGGTCACACTTACCATACATCTCATCTTCCAGCCCATGAACAAAGGCTCCACAAGCTCCAGACTCGATCAAATTCACAGCTCCTGTATCTATTTCTTCCTTGGGAGCATCATCTCCCCATTTCCTGCCACTGGAAAATTCTCCTGAACTGTAAAGTTCCTTGGCACGTTCATGTGCAGTACGTTTCCTCTGCAGAAAACAACAATTAACACTTAAGGAGACTCTTAAGGGAACATTAAAAATAAAACTGCTGGGGCTGGGAAGGTGGCTCAGTGGTAGAGTGCTTGCCTTACATACACGAAGCCCTAGATTCGATTCCTCAGGACCATATAAGCAGAAGTAGCGCTGTGACTCAAGTATGGAGTGATAGTTTTGAGCTGAAGAGCTGAAGGATAGCGCCCAGGCCCAGAGTTCAGGCCCCACGACCGGAAAAAAAAAAAAAAAAACTGCTCTCTGAGAGAACTCAAAGTTCAGAGCAGAAAAATGCAAATTCAATTTAAAATGAGACCAAAGGCTTGCAAGTCTACAACAGCTTCTTTAAAAGATGAAGACAGCCAAAGAAAGTCTTGATCATACAAATAGTGATGTTTGTCATGACTATATAGGAGGGGGAGAACAAAGAAACAAACAGTGGCAATGTATTTCCAGTATCTTGGGTAGACAACACATCCACGCCAGGAAACAAGTTGTTCAGACTCATTAAAATCAAAGCCTTTCCTGTACATATCCATGTTTTGGTTGTTCTTTTTTCTTGTTTTGTCTATTTGAGCAACACTTCACCAAATAACCCTAATAAGGTTCACCTTCACAGATTACAAAGAGGGAATATAACAGCTAGCAAAAGTAAATATACTTGACATTTATGATTTTTATCATAAAAACAAACTAGAACTCTGCTTCTGAGAACAGCTTTTAATACATCTTTTCAGTATGAATCCGTAATTCTTTGACAATTAGCTCAGAAGCACTAAGGAAATGTAGAACCTGAGCAAAGAAGGTTTTGAGTCTCATCCAGTAATAAAGCCTGGACCTTGAGCATTCCCATTTATCTATTAACTAAGAATGTTTCCTTCTTTACACTTCTGCCATGCCATATCAAAAAAATACTTAAGTACCAATCTCAAATCAAGTCAATGTACTGTAGGAAAGCTATAGGAAAATGTTTCATATAGCATAAATACCAACTCCAAAACCATCCTGAAATTTTTAGTTTATGGGAAAATTCCAAGAAAAAAAGGGCTAATATGTATGAATGACATTCTTTATGTGATTTATAGTAGAAAAATCAGAACTCAAGTTGCTAAAAGAGTGAAAAAGATAAAAAGATGGCACACCTACTAAACAAAGTACCATAAACTTGTAAAAATGCCAAGTATGACGTTGGCAATAGAAAAAAGTATGATATGGATAGGTGCCAGTAACTCATGCCTATAATCCCAACTACTGAGGAGGCTAGGATCTGAGGATCACAGTTCAAATCCAACTCAGGCAGGAAAATCAAGAGTCTCATCTCCAATTAATGAGCAAAAAGCTATAATTGTAGCATCATTCAAGTGGTACAGTACCAACCATAAATAAAAAAGCTGAGCAAGAGCACAAGACAGAGTTCAGCCCTAGTATCAGCATGAAAGGAAGGAAGAAGGAAGGAAGGAAGGAAGGAGGGAAGGAAGGAAGGAAGGGAGGGAGGGAGGGAGGGAGGGAGGGAGAATAAAGGAAGGAAGGAAAGAAGGAAGGAAGGGAGGAAGGAAGGAAGGAAGGAAAGAAAGAAGGAAGGAAGGAAGAAAGCAAGCAAGCAAAAGCCCATAATATAGAGAGAACCCTAAGTGGACTACAAAATTGCTTGCATAGAAAGATTCAATGTTTAAAGCATGCAGAAAAAACAGAACTGGGAAAAATATGCCAAGGTCACTGAAGTTGTTGTGTTAGGATAGTGGAACTATAAGTAAGCTGCTTTTCCCTTTTCCTCTGTTTACTTAAGACTACAATTCCATTCTGACTTTTATAACTAAAAACTAAGGTAATGATAGTAAATGTCCATCATAGCATTTTTCAGAGTCATATTTGATTCAGTAACCACATTAAAGAACTATCACAGTTAAAACTGGTGGCTTCCATGGAGGCATCTCTTTTACTCTTCAGAGAAAGGATTTTCTCAACTCTTCCAAGGGAAAGGGGAAAAGCAGGAGTTTTTTTGTTTTATTTTGTTTTTTTATTTTCGGTCATGGGCCTGAACTCTGGGCCTGGGCACTGCCCATCAGCTCTTCAGCTCAAGGCTAGCGTTCTACCACTTGAGCCATAGCGCCACTCCTGGCCTTTTCTGCTTATGTGGTGCTGAGGAATCAAACCCAGGGCCTCATGTGTGCAAAAGCAAGCACTCTACCACTGAGCCACCTTCCCAGCCCAAAGCAGGAGTTGTAAGGTGTCACACTATAACACAAAACAAGACTAGGCCAGACTTTCAGAGTTTCTAACAAATACTAAGTTAATCTTGCTGCTTCTTTGCAAAATACAACCTATACAAAGTATTTCATTACAACACAAAATTTAATGAAGTAGCTTGTAATTTGGTTCAAGTTACTAAGATTTTTAACTTATAGTCTAGTAACCCTACATTAATTTATACATAAATCAACTCAGCATATAACTATACTAACATTTATTACAGAAACCAACAAAGAATTCAAGTTACCCTCAGGTCTGACATCAGCTTCTTATCAAGGGTCTGCTCCAAGAAATGAGAACTGACTTGTTCCATAGAGCCCTGAAAAGGAGCATAGTAAACAACTTTTATGACTTGAAAGTTTTATTATTCAAAGTTTGCAATCAATTTAAATGCATAAAGAAAACACTATTTTTTTATGTTTTGTTTTTTTTCATGCCAGTCCTGGAGCTTGAACTCAGGGCCTGGGCTAGTACTAGTTTTCTGGTGGTTAAGTGGAGGTAAGAGTCCCATGGACTTTCCTGCCTGGGCTGGCTTCAAACCATAATCCTCAGATCTCAGCTTCCTGAATAGCTAGAATTACAAGTGTGAGCCACTAGCACCCAGTGACACTATTCTTAAGCCAGGTATGGTGATAGATGGCTATAGTTCCAGAATTTGGTAGGATGAGGTAAGAAGATCAATTTGAGGCAAGCTTAAGCTACCTGGTATATGCTGCTTAATCAAAATAAAAGGTGTCAGATGCCTGTGCCTTATGCCTGTAATCCGAGCTATTTGTGAGCTTGAGGATCAAGACCAGCACAGCAGAGATAATCAAGTTACCTCCTTCTCAACCAATAGCTGTTTGCCATGGAACCCGCCTGTTATCCTAGCTAAGAGAAACTTAAAATTGGTGGGTCACAGTCCAGGCACATTCCTGTTTAGGGACATGAGTCAAGATTTCATCTCAAAAATAACTAGCATTCAAAAGGGCTGGAGATGTAGCTCACTGTACCTAGCAAGTGCACGGTTCTGAGTTCAAACCTCGGTACCACCATCAAAAGGGGTGGGGAAAGAGTAACTTACCAATAGCTTTGCAGCTTGAACACGAACTACCCAAGAGCCATCGCTGACCATGTGACAAATTTTTCCAAATGCATCATCAACTAAGCGAATCTCTTCATTAGAAGAAGGGATTGGAACAATGCTAAATTAAAAGTGAAGAAACCACATATGACAAAGATGAGTTTAATAAACTCAAAATGACTAATGAAAACTGGTGTACAAGGAAATTATAATTAAATAGATCAGATCCTCAGACGATAAAACACATTTCGGTATAAACAAATTTGGGACTAGGACCCAATTGTTTCAGCTGCATGACAAATTTTCAGTGTCTTCAATGAATGTATGTAATCCATCAACAATACATCAATAAGTCAAAACCTTGGACCTAGAAGTATAGCTCAATGGTAAAGCACATACTAGTTCTTGGTTCAGTTCCTAGCACAAAGAAATAAACAAGGAGGGAGGGAAGTAGGAAAACATTAGCAATGACAGAATATTTTATAGCCTTAAGTTTATTATCTCCTATAATTGAACCATTATAAGTATAAAAGACCTCAAAATAATATAAAACATAATTGCAAATCTGCTTTGAAAAAACGCAATTTTGAATTATTGTGCTAAAAATAAAACCTATAAATGGAGTCTATTCCTCTAGGTTAACTCATTCTGGCTTTTAGCTTCTGGAAGATAGTTAATGGAAAAGAAACAGCTTTCTTTTTTTCCCCATAGGAGGAGCCTATCTATCAATAGATAAATATTTATATTATAATAGAGTCACCAAGAACCAACAATTTAATTTTTTTTTTTTTTTGTGGGTCGTGGGGCTTGAACTCTGGGCGTGGGCGCTATCCCTCAGTTCTTCAGCTCAAGGCAAACACTCTACCGCTTGAGCCACAGCACCACTTCTGGTTTTCTAGTGGTTTTATTGGAGATAAGAGTCTCACCGAGTTTCCTGCCCGGGCTGGCTTTGAACCACAATCCTCAGATCTCAGCCTCCTGAGTAGCTAGGATTACAGCCGTGAGCTACCAGCGCCCGGCTTGTAAAAATGTTTTTAAGCAAGGAAACACTATAGAAGGGATCATTACTCTGAAATTCACTTAGTTATCTGTTATATGGCCCAAATCAAACTAAACTAAACTAAAATGGGTCCTGAAAAATATTAATGACTAAGAAAAAAAAAGTGCTGAAAAATTCTAATAAAAAACAGCCCTAGGGCTGGGAAGGTGGCTCAGTGGTAGAGCGCTTGCCTTGCATACCTGAGGCCCTGGGTTCGATTCCTCAGCACCACATAAGCAAAAAGAAAAAAGCCGGAAGTGGCACTGTGGCTCAAGTGGTAGAGCACTAGCCTTGAGCTAAAGAGCTGAGGGACAGCGCCCAGGCCCAGAGTTCAGGCCCCACGACTGGACCAAAAGCAAAACAAAACAAAAAACAGCCCTAGTCTGATACTAGTGGCTCACGCCTGTAATCCTAGCTAGTAAGGAGGCTGAGATCTAAGGATTATGGTTGAAAGCCAGCCCGGGCAGGAAAATCCGTGAGACTCTTACCTCCAAAAAGAACATAGATGCTTGGCTTGAGCTGAAGAGTTCAGGACCAGTGCTCAGGCCCAGAGTTCAAGCACCACAACCAACCAAAAAAACAAAACAAAAACATGTCCAAGCGTTCTGATTGTCAGGTACTCTGCACTCTCTGTATTACACACCATCTTCCAAAAATTTACCCAAAACCTTCCTTTTCTAGAAGTAGCTTTCAGTGTGGTAGAATGAAAGAAAAATGGGTTAGCAAAGACTAAAAGTTGGTTTATAACCACACTGACCTTTCAGGATACAGCTGACTAATAACCCAGATGAGCTGGACAGCAGCACTGCGCACTTGCTCATAGTCATCAGCGAGCAATTTACAGGCCTGCAAAGAATGATTCAAAAGTCTATTAGTTCTATGTCCTCCAAAATAATACAAAGACAAAGACGGGGTTCAAAATAGAGAGGGTATCTGGATAAGAATGTCAACCAAAATACTCTGAGAAGCTGGATACTGGTGGCTCATGCCTGTTAATACTAGCTACTCAGGAGACTGAGATCTGAGGATCATGGTTGGAAGCCAGCCCAGGCAGCAAAGTCCATGAGACTCTTATCCCCAATAAACTACTCAGACAAGGCCAGAAGTGGTGTTGTGACTCAAGTGGTAGAGTTTAGCCTTGAGCACTAAAAGTCTCAGGGACAATGCCCAGGCCCTGAGTTCAAGCCCCAGGATGGGCAAAATAAAACAAAAAACTCCACAGTGCTGCTCTCTCATGCTCAAACACCCAACACGTTTCCCCTGTCTGTGAAACCAAAGTACACATTTCTGTTCACTATGACCTGAAATCCCTGAACCCATTTCAACCTACTCACTCTTCCTGGATATTTTTCAACCACATACCTTCTAGATATTAATGGCTCATGACACCCTCCTTCGACTTAGATTTCTCTGTGCTCAAGACCTTCATAACTAATATTATGGCCTGGAGCTTCATTGGTATCCCACCAATCTTTCAATATAACATAACCAAAACTGAAGTCAGTACAGATCCCAATTTTAAAACCCTCACTCTCACTCCATCTCCATTACTGTTAGGCCCTAGATTACTGACATTTTTATGCCACTGAACACGTGAATAAGCTATCTTTCTTCTGACTCCTACTTCTCCATATTTCCTTTAGCTATTTTGCTTAGCACATAGTATTCCTTTAGGGAAACAAAAATACAAGCACTCTGTACTCATTCTACTTCATCTTGTAACAGAATAAATTTGGTTTACACATAAACCAAAGCAGCTTGACAAGTAAACTCCCCTGAAAGAAAAGATACTCTTAATAAAGTAGCAAAATCTGATCTCTTGTTATAGATTTAGATTACCTACTAGTAGATTCATTTAATTATATTCCAAAATAAATACCACCCTCTAAGGCCTTTGGTTAGGCTGTAAAATGGCTTTTCTATAACTTCCCAAGTCATTCTTTGCCAATGATACATTCATGTGACATCTTTTCATATGATCTCCTGGTCTTGGTTACCCTCTGAAAACAAGCTTAATTTACTAGTGTGATGTTCAAAATGTGCCCCATATATGGCCTACCAGAAGAGATAAAAAGACTACCACTTTTCTTATTCCAAACACTGAATTTTTCTTCACGCAATCTACTATTCACATTGAGCTACCTAAATCTTCCTAATAGTTCTTTTCATAAGTATAAGTGCTACTCAATAGCATCCTACACTCTCTTTCTGAAAATTATGTTCTGAATATGACTTTACATTCATCTCAACTAATGTGGTTGCCATTAGCCAGCCAAGGTCCTTATTGCTTTCAGGTTCTGAGAACTAGTATGCCACCATCTCCGCTTCATGAACCTCCTCCCCTACCAGACAAGAATCATTTAAAGTACCTGATTATAAATTGCTTGGTGTAATTTCAGTCCTCTTTCATGGAGCTGCAACTAGATAATAAAAGTATATCTTAAGTTAACTGTTAATAAGATCAGTATTTCCAATGTTCCTCAAAACTTCACATATACATTATATCACATTAATAAGGGTTCCCTTTAGCTAAAAGCTGTGCCACTATATATTATATAGTAATCCTCTGAGGTCAGAGGATTAGAAGTTCAAGGCCAATCTGGGCTATATTGTCTTTGATTTCAAAGACAGGAAGGAGAAGGGAAAGCAGAGGAGGGGGGGAGGAGGGGAAAGGAAATGAGGGCAAACAAGAAGAAAAGAGGAATATGAAATAACAATAAGACACCTAAGATGGAAGACTAAGGCATAGATCAGTGGTAGATCCACTAGATAAGTATAGCATTTATAAGACCCTGGGTCTTCACCACTGAATATGATGTAGCATACAAAAAAAAAGCAAGGAATAAGGTAACTTCCTCCTTGAAAGCACTATTCTTGTAACTTTCATTTACATTTCTAAAACATGGAAGGTATACAAACTTTACCTGTAATAGTACTAAGTCATATCCTTCTATGATGGGACCAGATACCTGGAAGAGGGATGTGACTTAGTATTACAACAGGAACAAGCTATATCTCCCATGTTTCAGAGATACAGATGAAAGCTACTAGAGAAGCACAAAGAAAAATATACCATTAGATAGGAATGTGTGTTTTTCATTTTGATGAGGCTACCATGAAAACCTTCCTGAAAGTATACATGGGTATATGCTGGGGAATTCAGAATGTATCCAAGGCAACACTAGGCATGAACTTAAAAGAGTCAGGTGAAAACTGCTAAGGAAAAAAAAAAAAAAGTCAGATGCAGTGATGCATGCGTAGAGTCTCAGCTACTTGAAAGACTGAGGCAGGGAAAATCCAAGTGTTCGGGACATATCTTTAAATTGCCTCTCTCTCTTTTCTGATCTATCTTTCTTTATTTATTTATTTATTGTCAGTCGTGGGGCTTGAACTCTGGGCTTGAGCGCTGTCCCTCAACTCTTCAGCTCAAGGCGAGTACTCTATTACTTGAGCCACAGCGCCATTTCCAGTTTTCTGGTGGTTTATTGGAGATAAGTTTCACAGACATTCCTGCCCGGGCTGGCTTTGAACTGCGATCCACAGATCTCAGCCTCCTGAGTAGGTAGGATTACAGGTGTGAGCCACCAGCACCCGGCTTCTTCTTTTTGTTTTTTGCAATTGTTTTGAAACACGGTCTTAGTATGTAGCACAAGTTGGCCTAAAATTTTACATGTAACCTAGATTGGCTTTGAATTTACAGCTTCCCAGCTCCATTTCACAATACTAGGTTCCTAAGAAAGTTAAGAGACTCTGTCTTTTTTTTTTAATTGTGAAAACTGTACAGAGGGGTTACAATTACATGAGCAAGGTAATGAGTACATTTCTTATCAAGCATTGTTGTCTCCTCCTTTGTTTCCCCTTCCCATCCCCGCCCTCCCATCTCCCCCCTACCCATCCTCTCATCCTCTTTCTGTCCCCCTCTCCCCCACCATGCCAAAGTTGTAAAGTTCATTTTTCAACATAATGTCTTGTACATCTCATTGTTGCAATGGATCCACCTGTATCCCTATTTAAACAATTTGTTTTTTCCCTTCCCCTTCACAAATTATACCAACATCAAACACAGTGAAAACAAGGGATATATCGTGGGGGAGGAACATACAAAGCAACGAAGAAATCATTTTATAAATATGTTAGAAACAATAGCAAGAAAGAAAAAAACATTTGAGTCCTTATCTTGGGGTTCATTTCACCTAACATCAACTTATCTGACCATTTCTGCTTGTCTCAGACATATACTAGTTATTGCAAATAAGGGAAACCATGGGACCTATGTTTCTTTGGGCCTGGCTTACTTTACTTAATACAATTATTTCCAAGTCTTTCCATTTCCTAACAAATGGGGCAATGTCATTCTTTCTGATGGAGACATAGAATTTCATTGTGTATATACACTACATTTTTTTGATCTATTCATCTACTGAGGGGCATCTGGGTTGGTTCCATATCTTAGCTATGGTAAATAAAAATTCTGTCTCTTAAATTAAAAAAGAAAAAAAAGCGCTAGGGTACTTCTCAGTAGTAGAACTCTCATCTAAATCACAGGAGCCTCTGGGTCCAATCCCTTGCACAACAAAAACAACACAAAACTATCCCAATTTGTTTCCAAAAAATAAAATAATAAAATAATAATAATAATAATAATCACACTTACCATGGCTTTTATAGCTGCTGTTCTGACACGTGGGTCTTGATCACTGAAGTAATCCCCTATAATCTTCTGGACATCTCTGGCAGTTAGGCCTTCTGCATCTTTTGTAACACTTTTCTCCAGAGAGCCAAGGTTGCCAAGTAATTGCAGGCACTTGTTTCTTACACCGTGGGAGGTGTCTGTCAAGTGCTATTCAAAGGAAAATGGAAGCAGAAAGGCCCATGATTAAGTTACCTTGCAAAGCAAAAACCCAGAGACAACACCACATCAACTCTAGGGCTCATTTCAATCACCACATTCTCACCAGTATTATAGGATTGGGTTGCTTGACTATTTACAGCCCCTCTGCCTCTAAAAAAACATGAGTCTTTAGAAAACAAGCATTCCACTTTTTTTACCTTTATATTTCCAACAGTCGGTACTTTGCTAGTATAAAGCAGACACTTTAAAATTTATCCCTAAATTTCATTGTATTTGCTATCACATCTTAATACAAGACAAAAATGTATAAATTCTTAAAGTCTTAATACCCACACAGAAATTTTTATTTATTTTTTATTTATTTATTTATTTTGTGTCAGTCGTGGGGCTTAAACTTGGCCTGGGCGCTGTCCCTCAGCTCTTCAGCTCAAGGCAAGTGCTGTACCACTTGAGCCACAGCACACTTCCGGCACAGAAATATTTTTTAAAATCAATAAATACATACATGTAACAACCCAAATAAAAAGCAGAACATGACAAACACACAGCCCTCATGTCTTCTTCCAGGAACCCCACCACCAAAAATGTTTACACAGCTGGGCACCAGTGCTCATGCTTGTAACTAGCTACTCAGGAGGCTGAGATCTGAAGATCATGGTTTGAAGCCAGCCGAGGTAGGAAAGTTCAGGAGACATTTACTTCCAATTAAGTACCAAAAAAGCCAGAAGTGGAGGTGTGGCTCAAATGGTAGAGTGTTAACCTTGAGCAAAAAAGCTCAGGGATAGTTCAAACCTGACACAAAAAATGTTGACACCGATTCTAACAACACCTAGATCCACTCTGATTCCTACTTTATAAATTATACTTGTCTGGCTTCATTTGCTTATAGTTACATATGTGAGATATATCCATGGTGTGTCACCTAGTAATATTACTTCATTCTCATTACTATATAGTGTTCTATTTATGGATATATCAAAATCTATTAATACTTTTTGTTGAGAGATACTTGAAATATTTCTAGTCTGACTATTTGAATAACAGCACGGTGATTATTCTTCTATGTGGCTTTTGGTTATATATGTTCACATTTTTGTTGGCTACATACTTACGACTGTAACTGTGGAGTCACATATAGAACCTAGCATTTAGCAAATTAAAAAAAAAAACCCTACTTAAAGCTAGGCATGATGGTACACTACTGTAACTCCAATTATTTAAGAAACAGGAGAATCATAGTTTCAGATGAACCTGGGGAAAAAGTGTGAGACCATATGTGATGAATAAAACTAAAGCAAAAAAAGGGATGGGGTTTGGCTCAAGAGGTAGAATACTTGCTTAGCAAGCATAAGTTCAAATTCCAATAATGAGAGACAGGAAAAAAAAAAAGCCTACCTAAAAGGGAAAAAAAAAGGAAGAAAAGCTTACTTAAGAGAAAGATTAAGCATAGTAATACATGCTTATAATTCCAACACTCCAGAAACTGAGGCAAGAAGATGGCAAGTTCAGTTATTCTGGGTTACAAAGTTACAAGCCAGTCTGTCTACATGCAAGATCCTGTCTCAAAAAAGTAAAGAGAAAAGGAGGGGAGGAATGGAAGAGAGGAAGCATAGAAAGGGAGAGAAGAGGAGGGGAGGGGAGGGAAGAGAAAGAGACAGGCAACAAGAAAAGGATGAGCAAGTAAGTGAAGGCCAAGAACAGAAAATAAATCTGAAAGGAGCAGAAGTAAGCAATAGGATGAACTTTCTAGCAAACATGTCTAAAAACAGGATATTCTAACATGACAGGTAGTAAGCACATGTGAATGGTTCACCTTAGAGGGCTCCAGAGAAAAATTTGTGAACCAAGTAAACCAAGTGAGAAGCTAGAGATGGTGAAAGCCATGCCTTAATGGGATAGTTAGATGGGCAAACTCGCTTAAATGGGACAGGAACAAACAAAATCTCAGGAAAGAACTCCAATGCAGAGGGGGAAGGGAGGGTGACTCTCAAAGTGGGAATCTCCAATTATAAATTTGGCTCAACAAAAAGAAAAAAGCCGGAAGTGGCACTGTGGCTCAAGTGGTAGAGCGCTAGCCTTGAGCTGAAGAGCTGAGGGACAGCGCCCAGGCCCAGAG